CCTGGTTTAGATCTGGTCCAGTCCTGGTTTAGTCCTGGTTTAGATCTGGTCCAGTCCTGGTTTAGTCCTGGCTCAGTGCTGATGTAGTCCTGGTTCATCCCTGGTTCATCCCTGGTTCAGTCCTGGTTCAGTCCTGTTGTAGTCCTGGTCCAGCCCTGGTGTAGTCCTGGTGTAATCCTGGTTTAGACCTGGTCCAGTCCTGGTGTAGTCCTGGTTCAGTCCTGGTGTAGTCCTGGTTCAGTCTTGGTGTAGTCCTGGTTCAGTCCTGATTTAAACCTCATTTAGTCCTGGTTCAGTCCTGGTGTAGTCCTGGTGTAGTCCTGGTGTAGTCCTGGTTTAGTCCTGGTTAGTCCTGGTTCAGTCCTGGTTCAGTCCTGGTTTAGTCCTGGTGTAGTCCTGGTGTAGTCCTGGTTCAGTCCTGGTTCAGTCCTGGTTCAGTCCTGTTCCTGGGTCCTAGTCCTGGTGTAGTCCTGGTTTAGTCCTGGTTCAGTCCTGGTTCAGTCCTGGTTCAGTCCTGGTTTAGTCCTGGTTCAGTCCTGGTTTACTTCTGGTCCAGTCCTGGTGTAGTCCTGGTTTAGACCTGGTTCAGTCCTGTTTTAGACCTGGTTCAGTCCTGTTTTAAAGTCCCTGGTTTAGTCCTGGTTCAGTCCTGGTTCAGTCCTGGTTCAGTCCTGGTTCAGTGTCCTGGTTCCAGTCCTGGTGTCAGTCCTGGTTTAGACCTGGTTCAGTCCTGTTTTAGACCTGGTTCAGTCCTGTTTTAAACCCGGTTTAGTCCTGGTTCAGTCCTGGTGTAGTCGTGGCGATCGGCTCGGTGGTTGCAGCGTGTATATATTTATAATCCTCTAATGACACGGCGTAGGTTCAGTCCTGGTTCAGTCCTGGTTTATTCTTGGTTTAGTCCTGGTTTAGACCTGGTTTAGTCCTGTGCAGATTTAACTTTGACATGATCACGGTTTAACGGGCTGTGTGGTTGGATTCTGGTGATTATTCTCGTGTCTTTAGACCAAAAAATGTTTATCAGAACATTCAGAATTTTGAAGGAAAATCTCAAACATTTCAAAACATTTCAAAACATAAATATATTTGTGAACAGCAGATTATCGGTGGTAACGACTAAACGCCAACCCACATAAAACTCGAGAAACTGTAGTGATCTATGGAGCCATATGCAAAGCCAAGTCCAGACTGGAGCTTATTGGCGAGGATTTCTGCTGTTGGCAAAAAACGAACTGTCATCAAGTCCGCTTTAAGTCCTCATTTTTAGACCATCATAGACTCTGGAGCCCATTTAGTCATCTGTCATGTCTCTGCCCATTATGTGAGCACCAGAGCAAATATAAGGAAGTGCATTAAAACTGTAGAAAAGTGCCCAACGTTGGTCCGACTAACCATTCAGCTCCAGCGAAAAGACCTGGACCTGGAAGATTATTGTAAGACTGAAATCAAATCAATATCGGTTTGGGAATAGACGCAATTAGCAAATATTAACAAATCCTGAAGGTTGTCATTTTTTTTTTTTTTCAATTTTCTTCACAAACAACAAAATCTCCTGACTTATTCTGGATAAAAACTGCTAGTCCGCTATTTTTGCACAAACGAGTTCTGAAATAAGAATCTTGTATTTCAGTCTTTTTTTCAATTCTTCTGGACGTGTTTAAACTTTGAACTGAATATTTTTTATTATTATTAAAACATAAATTGCAAATATATTCACTCATTCAATGCAAATGTAAAGCTTGAAAAAAAAATCGCATTTAAAAAGACATTAGATACTTGGAATTATGTATAAAAAGTTAAATAACTCAGCTAAAAATGTTTTATATTTTATTTTGAAATCCACAGAGTATCCACCCTTTGATTTGTCAACATTGCTGAAAAATTTTGGCCTTTTCTCAATGAGTTTTAGGGCTGGGTGTCATTAAGAAGTTGCCGATACGATACAGTGCACTTTTGATTCGATATATTTCAAATCGATTCGATACGGTTTAATAAAATATAAAGGCTAAATCGTGGCTGTGGTACTAAAAGTCTTTGTTAAACCACTTCTTGTGCAAAGTGAATATGAAAGCAGTTTTGCGATGTATAAAACATAAAATGAATAAAATAAACTTTGAACATGAAATAAGGCACAGAAAAACCTAAATATATTCAAAATAAAGTCTATATCCAGCTGTTTCCCGATCTCTATATTTTTAAAAATTAAATAAATATACTTATTTATATAAAAAATATCCCAAAATAAACTTTGTTAAGCTTTAGGGCGACTCACACTAGGACTTTAGAAACATAAAGTCTAGGGCTGGTTATCATTAAGAAGTTGCCGATACGATACATACCTCGATACGGTAAACTTTCAGGTTGATACAATATATTTCAAATCGATCCAATTCAATAAAAAACAGAGGCTAAATCATGGCTGTGATACTAAAAGTCTTTGTTAAACCACTTCTTGTGCAAAATTCATATGAAACACAAACATTTTAATCATCAAAACAGTGAAAATGTCAAATGTGTCGCACAAATGAGTTTCATTCCTCTAAACAAGCAACAAAACTGTAGCGCTGGAACAAAATAATTTTGTAAAATGTACCAAAAAATACTCTTGGCGATATATCGATCCAGCAGCTCACAATATTGGTACTGTATCATCAGATTAACAGGGCAAGTCTTAAAAAGGTCTTAAATTTCATGTTCCTAAATTAAGGCCTTAAAAAGTCTTAAATTATGTTGTCCAAGTGTTTTTTTTTTGTTTTTTTTTTACAAAGGTCTTAAATTTCATCAGCCTATTTTTTGTACTCAACCGGGCTGCGGTGCAACGTTAAATGAAGGGAGGAAAAAAAACAACAACGTGAAATTATGTAACGTGAATGAACGTCTAATTTGGGGTATGAGTAAACAGTACTTTGGTTTCTGACGCCGGCGACAATGAGTAAACAATCAGTAGAGTGGAGGAAGACGTTGGATGGTTTAATCCACAGTGGCTCTTAGATTCTAGCTATAGTACTGTAGTTGGTTGGTCACTATTAGAATTGAATCTGGTGTTTTTCGCCTGCATAATTGGGGCGATGTTGGTCTTAATTTTCATTTACGTGGTCTTAGAAAGGTCTTAAAGTCTTAAATTTGGGGTAGTCAGACCTGGGGATACCCTGATTAAGCAATACAATATATCGAAATTTCTGTATTTTTGGACACCCCTAATGTACGGAAGCCGAGAGGGGTCACAACAAACGCAAACGTCGCAACAAATACAAATGCGACAACACACCAAAAAGCCACAACACACCAAAAAAAGCCACAGCGGAAATCGTGAAAAGTAAAGCAATGGAGAAGTTGGAAACATAAGTAAAAGTAATTTTTTTTTTTTTTATCATTATTCGTTTCACGTTGTAGTTCTTCTTCTTCACTTGTCCGTCGGAAAATAGAGTCCCGCGGTCACTTCTGTTGCGGCTTTTTAATGTGTTGTGGCTTTTTAACGTCTTGCAGCATTTGCGTTTGTGTTGTGGCGTTTGTATTTGTTGCGGTGTTTGCATTAAAATAGAGTCCTGTAGTCATTTCCGTTGTGGCTTTTTTTGGTGTGTTGTGGCTTCTTGTTGTGTTGTCGTATTTGTATTTTTTGCGGCGTTTGCGTTTGTTGTGACCCCTCTCGGCTTCCGTACTAATGAGCTTTTTGATGAAGTTTCCTGAAATGATTTTCGCTTCATATCTGTGCCTTGTCAGAAGTGAACCTTTACTGAATAGTTTTAGAATGATCTTGAGCTGTTTCAGAACAAGTATAAGAGCAAATAGACGAGTAAACGCCCATGAACCACTGAGGAATTACACAGATATGAAACACATGGAAATAGAAAAGAAAGTATTATGATTTATGGTTTTGATTATAATTTTGTCTAAAGAAAGAGTGTTTTTTAAAACTCAACGCAATCCAGGCGCTTCAAAGAAGTAAAAATCGCACAAGGAAAAAACAAGGTAAAAAGACCTTTATTTAAACGGCCAGAGCCAACATATTTCAACCAAACTGGTCTTCATCAGGGCTTTTTTTTTATTTTTATTTATTTTTTATTATCAATATATTGGGTATGGGTATTGAGTCTACAATAGTAACAAAATAAAAATCAAATCTTACAGAAATACCTAGAAGACTAGATATATTAGCTTCACAAGTAAAACCACGACTATTGACTAAACACGTGCTTTTCTTTAACATTTTCTTTACGTTAACGATAAATTTTGTGTCTTCTTTAGCATTATTATTAGTTTGTACGACCATAAACGAAAACAAAACTGGCATCTTTAAAAATGAAAAAATAAAATAATAAAAATAAAATTTAATATAAATAAAATAAAATAAAAATAAAATAAATAATAATAAAATAAAAAAAAGTGATTGTATTTTTGTTTGAAGTCTTAGAAGTGTCCAAGGAAAAAAAAGCATTATATTTTGAAAGATATAGAGCTCTTTAATGAATTATGCATTAAATTTTGTTTGTTTTAGTTTATATTTTGTCTCTTATATACACAGTAAGTCGTAAGTGAAATTGTAAATACAAACTTGCTGGAATTCTGTCATTGTTTAAAAGAGTTTGGCATTATAAGTACTTTTTACAGTTTAAACACTTTCGGTCATGATCCATGTAGTTTTGTTTTGTAGTGCTGCAAAATAAATAAACAAATTAATAAAAAAAAAAAATACTATTGAAATTGAGGGACAAGTTTCACATCTTTGTGTTTAAGTGTAATTTTTAAAATTTATTTATTATTATTATAAATTATTATTTATTATTATTATTCATAAGGTGGAGGCTTTAATATAAGACCTTTTGGGGGTTTTTTTTACTTCTTCCGGCACCTACTTTTTTATATAATGTGGGTTTTTTTTTGTTTTTTTTGTTTTTTTTAAATGTGCAAAAAAAAAAAAAAAAAAAAATCAAATAAACGTACAAACGATGGCTTCAAAACAACATTGAGTATGTCCTGATGACTCGTGTGTCGTCTCTCCGCAGCGTCGCCGCCCACAGTAAGCAGAACCTGATGACCGTGGCCAATCTGGGCGTGGTCTTCGGTCCCACGTTAATGAGGCCCCAGGAGGAAACCGTCGCCGCCATCATGGACCTCAAGTTCCAGAACATCGTCGTGGAAATCCTCATCGAGCAACACGAAAAGGTAACGCGCCATTCAGGGACTTGGCACACACACACACAGACACACACACACATACACACACACACACATTCGCTACGCAATATCGGCAATCTCAAAGCAAGAGAAGGAAGACCGGTCTGCTCGGAGAATGGAAGGTTCCACGGGAAGTAATTACAGGAGGAAAGTGGGAGAGGAGGTTTAAACTGCAAAGGAGCGTCTCAGAGTGTGTGTGTGTGTGTGTGTGTGTGTGTGTGTGTGTGTGTGTGTGTGCGTGTGTGTGTGTGTGTGTGTGTGATGTATTCTTCAGCTCATAAATTGTAATATTTTTTGTGTAACAGACAAAAAGCCGCAGCCAGACAAAAATCCTATCAGGGCCGAGTGCGTCTCCTCGTATTTATTAAGACGTACTTGAAGGTGCTCGAGCCGGTGTGTTAAAGCCGCACTATGTCGTTTTTCTGCTTCCTGCTCGTCTCCATGGAGATGCTCTGCCTGGAATGTTCCACGTTATGGCGTTAGAGAAGATACTGTGCTCGTATGTGGACATTTTCAATCGCGATATTCATCGAAAAGAGTTTTAAAAAGAAATGAGTCTGAGTCTGCTGATTTTTGTCTTAGAAAACTGCTGTTGTTGTAGGGAGTATTATCTGTCATGTAAGGGTGAGTTGTTGTACAGTTGTAGGGAGTATTATATGTCATGTAAGGGTGAGTTGTTGTACAGTTGTAGGGAGTATTATATGTTACATAAGGGTGAGTTGTTGTACAGTTGTAGGGAGTATTATATGTCATGTAAGGGTGAGTTGTTGTACAGTTGTAGGGAGTATTATATGTCATGTAAGGGTGAGTTGTTGTACAGTTGTAGGGAGTATTTTCTCTTACATAAGGGCGAGTTGTTGTACAGTTGTAGGGAGTATTATATGTTACATAAGGGTGAGTTGTTATACAGTTGTAGAGAGTATTATCTGTTACACAAGGCTGAGTTGTTGTGCAGTTGTAGGGAGTATTATCTGTTCCATAAAGGTGAGTTGTTGTACAGTTGTAGGGAGTATTATCTGTTACATAAAGGTGAGCTGTTGTACAGTTGTAGGGAGTATTATCTTTTACACAAGGCTGAGTTGTTTTGCAGTTGTAGGGAGTATTATCTGTTACAAACGAGCAAGTTGTTGTGCAGTTGTAGGGAGTATTATCTGTTACATAATTGTGAGTTGTTGTACAGTTGTAGGGAGTATTATCTGTTACATACAGGTGAGTTGTTGTGCAGTTGTAAGGAGTATTATCTGTTGTACAGTTGTAGGGAGTATTATCTGTTGTTTTACATTTGTAGGGAGTATTATCTGTCACATAAAGGCAAGCTGTTGTACAGTTGTAGGGAGTATTATCTGTTACGTAAACGTGAGTTGTTGTACAGTTGTAGGGAGTATTATCTGTTACGTAAACGTGAGTTGTTGTACAGTTGTAGGGAGTATTATCTGTTACATAAACGTGAGTTGTTGTACAGTTGTAGGGAGTATTATCTGTTGTACAGTTGTAGGGAGTATTATCTGTTACATAAAGGCAAGCTGTTGTACAGTTGTAGGGAGTATTATCTGTTACGTAAACGTGAGTTGTTGTACAGTTGTAGGGAGTATTATCTCTTATTATTTCTATCTATATTCCTCACTTCAACATTTACAGACCCGTAATCTCAAATCAGGGATAGATTTTTGATTTTTAGTGCGACAAAATAAAAAATAAAGTAAAAAATAAGTGAAATTTGTAGCGCAGACAAATGTCGACCAAAATGTGTGAAATTTCAAGAACATCAGAAGTTGTTTCATTTTTTTATGGTGAAATTTGAACACTTGTTGAAGAGATAAATTACATTATGAAGTCTGTATTAAGTTTGATTTAACACCCACTTTTAACACTTAAAACTAGTAATTAAAATCTCTAAAGCTGATAATAACATCTGAACGTTTAATTGAATATTCTTCATAGGGACACGGAACTGTTTCACTTCTGCCAGTGGCCAACAGGGGGAGCTCTTTTTATTTACACTGGCTCTAGGTTGATTAAACAGTAGAGTGTGAGTGAGCAGTAATAAAATCTTTTGTTATATAAATTAATCAAATTCACATCCAAACAATTACTTTCTAGTACTTTCACCAAATACTGTGTTTTTAAGCCCACGGCACGGTTAAGTCCTGGCTAAATCCTGGTTTAGACCTGGTTTAGACCTGGTTTACGTCTGGTTTTAGTTCTGTTTCAGTTCTGGCTTAGTCCGGGTTTAGGCCTGGTTAAGTCCTGGTTTTAGTTCTGATTTTAGTTCTGGTTTAGTTCTGTTTTAGACCCTGTTTTAGACCCTCTTTTAGACCTCTTTTAGTCCTGGTTTAGACCTGGTTTAGTCCTGGTTTAGTCCTGTTTTAGACCTCTTCTAGTCCTGGTTTAGCCCTGTTTTAATCCTGGTTTAGTCTTGTTTTAGTCCTGATTTAGACCTGGTTTAGTTCTGGTTTAGACCTGCTTTAGTCCTAGTTTAGACCTGGTTTAGACCTGGTTTAGACCTGGTTTAGACCTGGTTTAGTCCTGGTTTAGTCCTGGTTCAGTCCTAGTTTAGACCTGGTTTAGAACTGATTTAGACCTGGTTTAGACCTGGTTCAGTCCTGATTTAGACTTGGTTTAGACCTGGTTTAATCCTGACTTAGACCTGGTTTAGACCTTTTTTAGTCCTGTTTTAGACCTGGTTTAGTTCTGGTTTAGTCCTGGTTTAGTCCTGGTTTAGTTCTGGTTTAGTCCTGGTTTATGCCTGGTTTAGACCTAGTTTAGACCTAGTTTAGAACTGGTTTAGACCTGGTACAGTCCAAGTTTAGACCTGGCTTAGAATTGGTTTAGACCTGGTTCAGACCTGGCTCAGTCCTGGTTTAGTCCTGTTTTATGTCCTGGTTTAGACTTGGTTTAGACCTGGTTTAGTCCTGGTTTAGTCCTGCTTTATACCTGGTTTAGTTCTGGTTTAGTCCTGGTTTAGTTCTGGTTTAGACCTGGTTTAGACCTGGTTTAGTCCTCATTTAGACCTGGTTTAGACCTATTTTAGACCCTGTTTTAGACCTCTTTTAGACCTGGTTTAGCTCTGGTTTAGACCTGGTTTAGACCTCTTTTAGTCCTAGTTTAGACCTGGTTTAGACCTGATTTAGACCTGGTTTAGTCCTGCTTTAGACCTTTTTTACACCCTGTTTTAAACCTGGTTTAGTCTTGGTTTAGACCTGGTTTAGTCCTAGTTTCGTTCTGCTTTTAGTTCTGGTTTTGATGTCTTAAATTAGAATTTCCATTGTTAATCATCCTGGAAATAAACAACAAAACACCTCCAAACTTTTAATTATTAGTTTATCTTACGTTTTTTTTTTGTCCTTCTCAACTGAAACAATCACATCTTCACACCTGAATAACGGCGCGTTTAATGTCGGCCAACAGGGGGAGCCCTTTGTGCTCCTTCCCTCGTACACCTGCTCCGTCTCTGTTGATTAAACACTAGATTGTAAGTGCGCCTCCTTTAATATTCATAAAGTCCTTTGGCAGCTCCAGTGCATTTATTTGTTTCATAACCTGTAATCTCCAAATGTGATTAATCGGTGCCAGTCCTCACACAGGGATCACGCCGTGTGCCAAAAGAGGAAGAGGGTTTCAGATGAGTTTTCTAATCTGTTTGGAGCAGCGCCACTATGAGCAGATAGAGATGAATCCACACTTTCATATTTTTAGCTCTTGTTTCATTTTATATTCTACTCAAAGAATATGTTCTTAATGGAAAGTGATTAGAAAAAAAAATTATATACTATTATTATTATTATATATATAGTGCACATTGTTTTCATCTTTTTGGGTTTTGAGGAGATTGTACCGATTTTTCTTATATTCAGATCTTCAAAGTAGACGCCCATTAACCCTCTGATTTGTCGAAAATTATTCAGTAGAGTTGTTTAACTTTTTTCATATATGTTACTCATGTCTTCTGTATGTTTATGTTGCAGGAAATAACCAGGCAAAGTAGGAAATTAACCACTGTTCTCAACTTTACAGGGCATTTAGGCAAAGTTGAGAATATTGATTCATTTCCAGCTTTGCATGTTTGTTTGAGGTATTATAATGACATTTCTATTCAGTTCAGTTCAGTACTATATATTCATATCTGACTCAAACTCAAATTCACAGAGGCCAAAATTAAAACTGGGAATAAGTTGTGGGACAAACTAAATATTTACTGAAAAATTTCTACAACATCTACGTGTTTTCTCTTCTTTGACCATATGTAATTTTAAACCTTTTCTTATTAAAATAAATTGAATCCAGAACAAGCAAAATATAAAATAATATCAACATTTTAAATAAATAGTGTCTTTATCTGTAGCTGGCGGCAGCTCGAATATTTGTGGCCACACCAGTTTGTCAAAGCCTGATCCCGTCAGATCTCAGAAGGTCAGAGGTCGGGTCTGGTCAGTACTTGGATGGAGACCACGGGGGAAATGAAACGCCACAGGGGGGCGCTAGTCACAAATACTGTTGTTGTGTCCTTAGGCAAGACTCTTCACCCACATTGTCTAGTATGAAAATGGTGTGTGTGTGAGTGATGGTGGTAGTCGGAGGGGACGATGGTGCAGATCAGTCTGCCCCAGGGCAGCTGTGGCTACAATAGTAATTTTTCACCACTGGGTGTGGAGTGACTGAATAATGATCTGTAAAGCGTCTTTGAGTGTCCATAAAAGCACTCTATAAAACTGATGCATTATTATTATTATTATTTGATATGATATCGTGGGCCAAATATAATTATATTGTGGGACAAATTTGGCCCCTGGGCCTGAGTTTGACATGTCTGCTCTATACTGTACTCTATCTATACTACAATTCATGTAAGGTGTTTTTTATCTGACTGTTTATGTCACCTCATTTAGAACGAGGCAAGAGGAGAAAAGTATTTAAAGGACACCAGACGTTCTGGAGAAGATTAGTTCACAATATAAGAATGTCTGGATTATCACCTTTGCCTGTAAAAT